GAGAGAGTTAAAGGAGCTCCCATCTTCTGCATCAGAGACCTGGGCCCTAAAAGACTAACCTTAATATTCTGTGGAGTTGCATCCTTCTAGCTGTCCAAGGATACAGGACTCCAAGTACAAGGCATTCAAGATTGTCCTGTCCCTTGAGTGCTCATATGGGGAAAAAAAGCAACCTACCTAAACTTAACCCTAACCACATATAGAATGTATAACAGATTTTAGGGGTCAAAAGGACCCACAGAATTAAATAGTTTGATCTTTCAAACACAAGCCATAGAATTTCCTGAAACTTGGAAGTTTGGCTAGAAATATACTGTGTGAGATATTCAACTGTATGTGCATTTGAAAGTGTGTACACACGTGCAAATACACAGACATTATACCCTTTCTAGTGCACACTGTCTTCTCTATGTGTATCTCTAGGCTTAGAATATAAGTGTAATGAACATCCTTCTGGTTGTAACCAGGGACTGAACAGGCAATGAAAGGAATGAATATATTAGTCCTTACAGTCAGTACTAAAAAGGGGCTAAGCCCATAAGTGGTAAAGCATGTCTTTTCAACAAATAGAGGCTCTTAATTCCCAGATATTTAGGTGTATGTGCTCCATACCTATTTCATGTGTATGTGCTCCAGACCCTTTCATTCAGACTAAGACTCATTTAATTATATTTATAATGATGAGTATCCTTTGTATGCATGCAGTAAACTTAGTTGAAATAGGAAAAAACTAAGGCAACCATAGAGAAATGGTGGGGGAGAAGAGTGGGAGGGGACCCCCCCACCCAAGGAAAAAATAACTATCTGAGAAATTGATTCTTTCTCTATGCATTGCTATAGTGGGTGAGGTCACTAAATGTTCTTCTTATACGTCTCTTGATCTAAGTACAACACAAAGAGCTGGAAAAAGGGAGGTGAAGCAATCAGAAGGGCAGGGTAAATTCATTCTGCATTGTATTACATGGCTATCACTTCCACCTCTGTGCAATGTATATGTGTATGCTTCATACATAATGATAAATTAGTATCTCTTCAATGCTTTGAAGATGTGTTTAAGGTATGTGTGTTTGTACATAGATATCGTACAGCAAAAAAGACTTGTTTTCCTTGGATGGTAAAAATAATTCACTGCCTGTTGTAAAGTTAGTGTTCAATTTACAGCTCCTATGTACTTATTATTCATCAAACTTGATTATATTGTAGTTTCTTTATGGATTCACTAAAATATACACTAATAAAATCACGTTTGCTTTTTATTATGGACTGTCTCCATGCACAAACATTGTAAGCTGTAAGGAGTTTCTGGTCATAGTGAGTGTAACACTAGATTATTCACCAATTAATGTATTTGTTATGCTATCTTTGGTAGTTGTTGCTAAAGAAAACGTGACAGATTTTTAGTGTCCTTCCAGCACTTTGCAAACATACTCTCTTTTTAGAGGCATTACATGTATTTCAGCCTCATAAGAGAAATAATTCAGTCTGGGTAAGCTATTACAATTTACAACACTTCTCCCTATCTGATGTTATACAACTGGCTGAGAGAAGATTCTGTATTAGAAATTCACTAGATACTTGGTGCCTTATCTTGCTATTGATCCCTTGAAGTCAACAGGCTTGGATACAAAAATCAATGGCAGAATGTGACCCAGAGTGCTTTTACAAAGCTAAGACAGTGCAAAAATTATCCATAAGCATCCACTTCACACACAAAGTAAAAGAAAACGTGTATTAAAGGGACAGATTTTTAAAGGCATTTAAAATGCCTTTGTCCCATGTAAATCAGTGGAAGCAAGGCCTCTAGATACCTTCAAAAATACGATCCAAAGAGCCCACTACATACAAGTGCAGAGGATTGCTTCTGGACAGATGCATACCATCAAGGGGCATTAATGCACATGCTCCTGTGGGTGGTGAGAGGGGGCACTTTAATCAGAATGGCTCTGAGAGCTGCTCTAATTAAAGCATCCAGAGCATCTTGTGTATCAGTGTCTCCATGCTTAAAAATGGCAGCGGGGGCGCTTTATCTAAAGCTTGTTGAACGAGCTTTAAACTGCAGATGGAAACGATCATTTTCACCTGATATGGCCACAGAAAACAGTTTATAGCTGTGACCAAACACAAGTGCATGGCTGCAAACAGCTTAAAAAATGACTGATTGAGTGAAAATTGACCCCTTATTGTATAAGATATCAGATAAAGATGTTACAAAATGTAGCATCTTTTGTAACTTGTGCCTGCGGGGCTCCCAGCTTGCCACTGTTTTCAGAATGGGAGGGGGGGAAAGGGAGCAGAGGAAGTTCAGTCGAGGGGTGGGGTTTAGCCCCCACTGGATGGTGGGGCACCTGTATTGCAGCATCCCGAGGTGTGGGGGGGGGCTCCAATTCACCCACCCCACCATTCTGGAGAGCCCCAAGAATGAGCTCCCTTTGCTGCCTTTCCCCTCTCCCATTCTGAAAACAGCAAGCATGGGCAGAGAGCCTGGCCACTGCTATGGGAACCTGGTTGCAGCCCAGCTAGATTCCCCTCTCCCCGGGAACCAACAGTGAACTTCTGTTTGGTCTGGGGTAACATTGTAATGCAGCAAAAATTGTTCTGAGTTACAGCTGGAAGCTGCACTTGTGTCTGCACCCTTAGATACAGCACCCCTGCCACCATTTTTAACCGCAGGGATGCTGACACACAAGACACTGGAGTCTGCCGGTGCGTGGTATTTACCGCATGCCAGCAGACTCAATTAATCAAGTCTGCTCCAATGCACTGTAATTACAGCGCATCGGAGCACTCCTTGTGTATAGACACCCATGTTGCTCAGGGCTTGTGTGTAGACACCCATGATGCTCTGTCATTGTTAGGATGAGATTAGTCAGCAAGGGGAGAGAAAGGTTGGTCAGGAATGATGCAGTGGTAAAACACAGGGAAAAGTCTTCCCACCAGGCTTCAGCAAATACATTACCGGAAATAATACTGAGATTGGATTAAGGGAAGATATAGGGGATTTTACAATTCAGACCCAGAAAGCAAATCTTGTCAGGAAAAGTAACATTTGCCAGTAGGTGTGGCCTCTATTTAAGTCCCTTTAGTGGAGTCTAATTCTTTACCAGCGAAGTGGTAAGATCATGACTCCGTGGAGAGCAGTAACCTGGGAAAGAAGTGTTGTTAACCTTACAGTGGGGATATTGATCCTTATTAGGAAATACAATATTAGTCTAGTGCATACAGTAGATTATTACATACCATAAGAAACACATCATGTACATCTTAAATGGTGTTAGACACTATGCTGATAAACACTATAGAAAACATAAATACAATGTCAGAGAAAATTTTGCCACACCATTTCATTAAGGGTAGGTCTAATAAATCAAATTATTTACTTTCATTTTAGGATGTAACTTCCCCTATGCTAGAACCATTCGGTGACAGTGGAAGAATGAAAATACTTTTTTTCCTGCATACTAATGTGTGATGATGATATGCTGAAGACGCATAGTCACCTGCACTATATGCCAGATCCCTGGAACTATTTGAGGTATATTTTTCAAAATTAACATGTAAGAGGAAAATAAAAACTCAGAGCTGTGAAAAACTCCCAGTTTTCCCTTTGTGACTATGCACTTTGAAAAGTGTTATTGCATTTTCATGACGTTCCACACTTGGGTGGAACCTGTTCATTTTTAACTTTCAGCTCTAATTCCCAACACAAACCACTCTTAAAATAGCATTCCAGCCTGCTGCCATGTTCATTACTTGAATTAATCATCTATGGATTTAGAGTCCTAAACCTTAAAAACTTTAACCCTTTTCCACATATGCAAAATCAGTTGCCTCACGTGTATGTACATTCACCCCACCATCACAGGGAAGTAAAAACTGTGCCCCATCCTAACATAGATTGCTCCATGCCACGTAATGGTAACAGAACGACTGTCACCCACGAACAGAACTTTTTGTTAATGAAAAATATCTTTAGGATTCAGCTGAGAGATATGTTTAATCAAGAAAGTCCCTGATGATTCTTTGAAGTGCTTTGGTAGGGAGGCTTTTTTTTTGCATGGCTAGTAATACTGGAGTTACAGTTTGGATGCCCACAATCTGGGTCCTGCTGTTGGATTATTGAACCTTCTAGCTCAAGGATTTCTCTAGACCTTTTAGATGTTGATGATTCTGCTTCTCGTTTACCCTATGCTGCCTTTCTCCCATTCTGGCAATATAACAGGGCCACAAAAGTTAATGTGTGCCTTTAAATAGGTGGGCCATAACCAGTGTAGTGCTACATCTAGCTCTGTGAGAGTAGGCACTTTGTTTCACGAACTTATAAACATTCAAAATGTTTCCAATTAACTGCATGGACTGATCTAAATAATCTCAGTTCTTCAAAGTGAAATAACACAACCAGTTCTCATTGAAATAGAATTGATCTCTTAGTCAAGTCTCTCTTTCTGGTGCAGAAAGAGTGATCAAAGATTACTAAGATTTCCAAAACTCAAACAACATTCCTACTATGTGCCTTGTCCACAGGAGTAAGGATTGTCTCAGGATGTTGAGCTCTGCCCTGCAAGATGTCTTGAGCACCTGCTGCTCAGCAGTATAGGCCTTGAAAGAAATGGAAAGAACCCAGATCCTTTGACCTACTCTCCCCAGGCAGTGGGGGAAGATGAGGGGTGAGGAGTTTGTTGAGGAAGCTAACAAATGAGGACCTTGGAGGACTAAATGGGGAGTCAATAGAGTTGAACAACTTTGGGTTACAATTTTTCTGAGGTATCAGATGTTTAGAACTCACGTGGATTAAAAACGGTTGGTGTTCCACGTCTCTGGAAAAAGCAGGACCTTCGTGCTTTGCAGGAGGTGCTTGGCATTTTGCAGGTTTGAGCCCTTGGTCATAAAAATATATATTCTATATATAAAAATACAGCAGATTTACTTGTAAAAGTCAATTCATAAGTGTCCCCCCCTCCACCCCCCCCAACTATGTTTTATGCATTCACAAAGATGTTCGGGATAGATTTCTGAACAGTGCAAAAGACTGTTTTATATTCATAAAAACATACGTTGTAGTACTTTTAAACACCAATTGGAAAAAAGCGGTTGAAAAAGTTTCACCCTCAGAAATTCTGGTCCGAGTCGAACTTTTGCGTAGCAAATTGTAAACAAACTTCTTAGACGGCTAAGACTTCTCATTTCTTTCCAGCTAAAGCAGTCTCAAACACATCAAGTCCTGCTTTGAAGTAAACCTGAGCTGAATTGATGCTGTTCAACACCTTTGACAAGGCTGCTTGAAGGGTCTCATTTGACTGATGTAGCTTGCAGTGTGCCAGCGCCTCTAGCAGTACTGAAAATTGGCTCGTCCTTTCATCCAGCCTATAAAGAATGTTTCTAAAAAAGAACAATGGAAAACAGTAAGCCCTTTCCTCAAACAGATAAAAACAATTACCCCATCAAAAGACATTGCGAATCCCTCAGAGTAAGAGCCACACTTTACAAATGATACACATTAGCTACAGTAAACCTAACCTGCAGCAAATTGAAGAGAGGATGTATTTATTTTTGTTTTGTTGGAGCATGTATGCCAAAATCATTGACAAACTCCATCAAAGACATCTTAGACTCCTCCCTGCCTATTCAGCCATTCAGAATTTCATCAGAATCGCATGCTGGAGCACAATTTATCTCCTTTGAAGTATTTTGCATTATCAAGAGTACTGCTTTTTTTTTTTTTTCTTCCTAGAAAACAGGTTTTAGGTATTACTGGCAACCTTGTACATGGAAAAAAAAATCCAATCTGCACACCTTATTTCACACCCTAAAGGTGAAAGTCTGGCTTCCTGAAGTCAAAAGGAAAAAACTCTCATTGACTGCAAAAGAGTGATTATTTTACCCATAGCCCTCTCTGATGTCACAACCACATTTAATGTTACACACTTAAAGCAGGACGTAAGCACAAGGAACGGCTAAAGTTGTATGAAATTACACGGGTTTTCATGTAAACATCCTTAGGATTTTTTTTTTAATGAAGAGAAAATCACAGAAATAGGAGTGGACTTGTTTAGTCAATCCTGCAGTTGTTATTGCAGCAACAATTACCATAGGACTCTTCGGAGATTTTGTCTGTGGAAGAACCACAATTTAAAGCTATTCAAAGATTTCCATGAGGCTCTGATACGACTCTGAAAGCAGGCTATAAATGTTATCTAAAACCAGATTTAATTATTATCCTAATTAGAGAAGCACATAAATAGCATAAATCTCCACCTGTGAGCTTCTCTGATTGTAAACCAAAGTGTTGGAAGTTTTACATAAAAAGGTGGCAGGTGATTCGATTACAAGACCTTTACCTAAACACATAGGGAGGAAGAAATTTCACAGAAAGAAAAGAAAACAGTAACAAAGAAACCAGGACAGTCTATATACTTCATTAGTAATCTAATTACATGACAGGCCCAGTGGCAATTCTAAATTAGTAATAAAACTGCCAGGGATATTCACCTAGAAGACAGAAGACCACAAAAGAGTATCTTTAGTAGATTACTATCAGCATTGTCTAATTACCAGTCTACAAGAGAGAGAGGTAATGAAGTGACAGGTTAAATGGTAGCTCAGTACAGACACTTAGGCTTAGGAATGATTTGTGTCTATCAGTTCATAAAAAAATATGGTTGGGAATAAAAGAAACCTTTTCAAATATTATACAAATCTATACATAAATCCCATATCTTTTTAAATGCATTTCTTCCTAGCTGAACTCTTTCTCTTCTTTTCCTCCTATAACGAGTATATACATTATATAGTCATAGCACCAAAATAACCATTTGAGGAATAAGCATTGCACCCAACAGGAATACTCAGAGCATATGCTGAGCACTACAAACAATCTAACTATGGAAAAACTACACTAGTATTATGCTCATTTCTATGTTCTGTGCTAAACGTTGGTGTCACTTATGAATACAATATTTCCAAGCCTTAAAGGCAAATGGATTATACTCCATGCTTTCATTTGGGAATATAGTGAACTGTAACAGGTGGGATCTGAGCATGCTGACAGTCATAGGGCTTTTATGGAGGGTTTGGGGAATATCACCAACTTTGAGCTGGGTCCCAGAGCAGTTATACCCTTGGGAACACAAGGAAGAACAAAGACTGTTGCATGCATTATCACTAATCTTCTCTTTTTGAAGTCAATGCAAAAAGTTTCCCACTGATTTCAATGGGAATGATATCTCTAAGAAGCCCCATTTAGTATTTAATAAAGTGTATTGCATTATGCATGTCAGGGGCACTGAGGTCTGGTCATACCTCCAAGCCAGCAAACCAGGCCATAAACTACCTTAAGCAGCAGGAA